TGCGCACTGTCCCTGAGGTGCCTCCACCTCTTCCTCTTCCGATCACGGGTCTTCCACTAACCCCACGGCTGCCGGACAGGTGCAAGCCCCCTCTGGTCAGCAGGACCCGCTGTGCTCAGGGGCGTTCACATCACCGGACACTCACTCCCCCTGGGAGACTCACCAGAGAATTTCTAAACACGTGTCTTATCCCAGTAGGAATTCTGGTGAATAAGAGTAGTAAGATATTTAGGTTTCATACCTGAAATGAAAAGTAGAACCATAGAGCAACGAAATGTGATGCTCTGTGTGACATGGGACACTCATTGCTCTGTGTGACATGGGACACTCATTGCTCTCTCTGTGTGACATGGGACACTCATTGCTCTGTACGACATAGGACACGACCTCCAGGCGGAGTGAGTGTCCGGTGATGTGAACGCCCCTGAGCACAGCGGGTCCTGCTGACCAGAGGGTGCTTGCACCTGTCCGGCAGCCGTGGGGTTAGTGGCTCCCGGTGTTAAAGGGGCAAGAAGTTTCCGTTCCCAGGGTCCTCCTCCTTGGAGTGCAGCCTCTCACTCTTCAGGCTGGAGTGTGGGAGGATGTGGCATCCTCGTGGAGAAATAAGAAATGTTCCTCCTCCCGAGGCCACAAGAAATTCCCATCCCCACAAAGAGTTTATTTATTGCTCGTTCGCTCCCAGCCCGGAAATAACTACAAAGCTCTCTTGGATGAGAATAGTTAAAATTAAGCAATGAGAACTGAAGCAAAAATAAAAGTGTTAATTCTTATTCCAAGAAGTTAACCGACTATTTCATCCGGTTACCACAGGCTTTCTTTTAAGATACTTTTAAGTTTTTAGCGTGAACATGTGTCAGTATCTGACACACATGGGGGCCAGTTAACGCCCCCGTGCCCGTGTTTTCTATGTCCCATGACGGGAGCTGACTGGTGGCTCCGTGTCTAAAGTGGAAACTTGATCCTGGTGCTTGGATTTCCGGAATCTATTTCCTCAGGCAGATCTGTCCATGGACCCTGTTGCCACACAGTGTCTCCTATTCTGAGGGGTTGTAAGAAGGTAAGAGAGAGGATCTGAGATGCTACACACAAACACATGCACACAAACACCCAAACACGTCACGTACACACACACACACACACACACACACACACACACACACACACATTATATCGCAAAGCAATGAGTGTCCCATGTCACCCAGAGCATCACATTTCGTTGCTCTATGGTTCTACTTTTCATTTCAGGTATGAAACCTAAATATCTTACTACTCTTACTCAGCAGAATTCCTACTGGGATAAGAACACACGTGTTTAGAAATTCTCTGGTGAGTCTCCCAGGCGGAGTGAGTGTCCGGTGATGTGGGTCCTGCTGACCAGAGGGTGCTTGCACTTGTCCGGCAGCCGTGGGGTTCGTGGCTCCCGATGTTAAAGTTCCCGGGGAGCAAGGTCGGGCGCACGGAGGTGAGCCTTGGACAGGGCATCCCGGCAGCAGAGTTTGGAAGATGGGCTGGGCAGCAGGAAGATTTAATGATAACTCCTTTTTGCATTAAATTTTATTGGTTTCAGAGAGGAAGGGAGGGAGAGAGGGAGAGAAATATCAATGATGAGAGAGAATCATAGACCAGCTGCCTCCTGCTCTCCCCCCACTGGGGATCGAGCCCACAACCCGGACCTGTGCCCTGACTGGGAATCAAACCGTGACCTCCTGGTCCATAGGTCAACGCTCAACCGCTGAGCCACGCCGGCTGGGCTGCATTAACTTTTTTTATTCTGGTAAAGAACACGTATTGTAAATGCTACCATCTCAGCCACTTCGGAGTGTGCACTTGGGGGTGGTAAGCACAGTCACACTGTCGTGGAACCATCTGCAGACCTTTCTCTTCTTGCAGACGGACACGCTCCCCGTTACACAGCAGCTCCTCCCTGCTCAGCCCCTCGCAACCACACGATCATTTTACCGCGTCGTGGTGGGTTCTGCAAGATGACGCCTGTCCTCTCTGTAAAAAGACTGATCTTGCTCTCCAGGGCGTTCATGCAGATTGGGAGGCCTGGTGTGGTGCGGCGTTTACGGGGCAGGTTGGGGTGAAGAAGGAGCTCGTAGGACCGGGCACATTTCCTCCCCGGAACGCTGAGCATGTTTGGTTTGTGCTTTTAAAATTGGTGTTGCTTCTTACCTGTGGGAAATCTTTAAAACATTATTATGTACTAGAGGCCCGATGCACAAAATTCGTGCATGAGGCTCGACCTCCACTGCCACGGCGGCTGTGGGCCTCTGCCTTGGCCCCCGCCTGCCACCAAGGACGTCCGGTCTAATTAGCATATTATGCTTTTATCATTATAGATTAGTAGCATGGCCATGCTGCTAAGAGCACACGAGGACATTGAATATCCTGAAACGTCCCCTCTCCTCAAATACCCTTAGCAGTAGGGTCCCACTACTTGTACATAATTATGTCTTTGAATTTTCCACAATTAAGAAGCGCTAATAAAAAAAAGAACCTGTGAACCCTGGCTGGTTTGGCTCAGTGGATAGAGCATCAGCCTGCAGACTGAAGGGTCCCAGGTTTGATTCTGGTCAAGGGCACATGCCCAGGCTCGATCCCCAGTGAGAGGAGTGCAGGAGGCAGCTGATCTATGATTCTCTCTCATCATTGATGTTTCTATCTATCCCTCTCCCTTCCTCTCTGAAATCAATAAAAAATCATATATATATATAAATACACATATATGTGTATGTATCCTAAATAATAAAAGCCTAGGTGGTGCCTGCGATGTTGTTACAAGATGTTCACCACAAGATGGCCAGCAGGGGAGGGCAGTTGGGGGTGACCAGACTGGCAGGGGAGGGCAGTTGGGGGTGACCAGGCTGGCAGGGGAGGGTAGTTAGGGATGACCAGGCTGGCAGAGGAGCACAGTTGGGGGTGAGATGAGGCCAGCAGGGGAGGGCAGTTGGGGACAACCAGGCCTGCAGGGCAGGGCAGTTGGGGGCGATTGGGCCAACAGGGGAGGGCAGTTGGGGGTGATTGGGCTGGCAGGGGAGCAGTTAGGCATCAATCAGGCCGGCAGGGGAGCAGTTAAGGGGTGATCAGGCAGGCAGGCGAGCGGTTAAGAGACAGCAGTCCCAGATTGTGAGAGGGATGTCCAACTGCCGGTTTAGGCCCGATCCCACAGACATCCCCCAAGGGGTCCCAGATTGGAGAGGGTGCAGGTCGGGCTGAGGGACACCCACCCCCCGTGCATGAATTTCGTGCACCAGGCCTCCAGTATATATATAAAAGAACCCGTGAAAAAAATTCCAGTTCTTAAGAAAATTATGTCTAATTTTCAGTTTTCCTTTTAAATTGTGGCAGCAAAGGACAGTTCCCCTTTTTGGGGGTTGCTCTCGTCTGTAGCCTCTAGCGCACATGAGTCGCTGCAGAGCCCTGGGATCTGTTGCCATCACGTAGGTAACTGCTGACTTTGAGGGTCAGGCTCCTACACATGCAAGTTACTGACTGAACCGGGTGTAGTTGGCGAGTTTCACGAGGTCAGGACACAGATGCACGGCGTCCCAACACGCCTCCCAACACGCTATCCCTATAGGCCTGGGGCCTGACTCCCAGCTCAGCTGCCCAGAGTAAATTGCTTTCATCTCCTCACTGTTATCCCTGGAAACGTGCCAGTGGAACAGGTGAGAACTGATGAGGTGGTGAGTTCAGGGGCAGAGGTGGAGGGCCAGGCGTTCTGAATTCCTCTGGCGACAGCTTTGTCTGGCGGGGCGAGTGGTACTGTAGGACTGCCCGGCCCGACTTTTCAGGTTATTTCTATATAGAAAGGGGTTTCCCCACAGGCTGAGCTCATGCTGTGAGTGAGTTCATGGACGATAGGGAAAGATGCCGCATAATGTAATTTTTATTAGATTTTCCATTAATTAGGACACAACAGATGTTCCACAGGAAGGTACATTTCCTCCAAATCTATTTCAAATATTTATTTCTTTTAAAAAATCTCTACTCAGAGGCCTCATGATCAATGAGGAGGGTCATCTCATTCATCAACCAGACAAGAAACTCTATAGAATTTGTTGTACCTAGTGGGGTCCCTAACTATGACCCCCCCAAAAGTCTGTGTTCTTGCAGAATGTAGTGAGAGGCGCGGCAGTAAGAAGTCCGTTCGTTCTCTAGTTACCAACGTAGAAAAGGTGAGACACGACCAGTCGGACGCACAGCTCACACGTCGGGCCGCGGCGAGAAAAGGGTTACGGAAAAGCTAACAATGAGCTCCTGTTTCTCAGATATCATATAGCATTTTTCTATAAATAATTGAAAAGGGTGATTTAAAAAGCTCCTTAAAAGACTATTAACGAGTGTCTAAAAAGAATGATTTGAATAACTGAAATTCGATTATAAACTCAGGAAAGCGAGGCTTTTCCACGTGTCAGGGAGTGAGGTCGCCATGCGGGCCTGCGCCTCGTGGGTGGAGGAGTGGAAGGAGCTCGGCCCTCCGTGGCCGCCTGGTCCTCCCTCCTTTCCTCGGCCCGTCTTCCGCGTGGCCCCCAGTCCTTGCAGACACTCCCCCGGCCCAGACCCTCGCTGCGGCTGCAGTCCGGGTGCGTTTCTCAGGCGGGGAGATGCCGCCTGGGCTGCGGGACGGGAGAGCCAGCTGCGGCTGCAGTTCGGGTGCGTTTCTCGGAGCGAGCCTTCCTGGCCGGCTGCTCCTGGAGGGAGATGCCGCCTGGGCTGCGGGACGGGAGAGCCAGCCCCACGGACACAGGCCCTGCGCCGTCCGGGGGAGAATGACATGTGCGGTCCCAGCTCAGGCCGGGGCTGCGTGACTGGCTCCGGAGGTGAGTGGGGCTGTCGCGCCACCTCCGTGTCGGTCCATTAGTCCATTAGAACCGGCAGGATTCTGCTGACGATGCTGTTCTCACGCCCGCCCCCCCAAGACCATCCGGAGGGCAGGCGCGGGTTGTTTCTTCTGACGCGAGAACGTGGACTGATTTCTTGTTGTTGCTCCCAAGCCGCTGCCGCCCCGACATGACTCCCTGGAGTCCATGCAGGTCTTCCAGCAGCACTGCCAGATCGCCGAGGAGTACCACGAGGTCCGCAAGGAGATCGCGCTGCTCGAGGAGCGGAAGTAGGTGCCGCGTCCTGGCTGCTGGGCGGGGCGGGCCAGGCTGAGTGGAGGGGCGGGGCCATGCTGAGTGGAGGGG